TGATACGCGCGTGTGTGGGGTTAGGGTTTAGGGCTTTGGGTTTTGGGTTTACGGTTTAGGGTTTAGGGTTCAGGGTTTAGGGTTTAGGGTTTAGGGTAGAGTATCCCAAACCCTGAACCCCAAAAGCCACGGGATCGGGCTCAGTCTCCCTTCTTAGAATCTCATGGGAGATGTTCAGTTCGTGGCAAGCAGCACTGGGACGCTCGTAGCCCGAACTAGGGTACTTATAACCTATTACAACTAGCCCTTTATACCCTGCTTGCTAAGTCCCCTGATCCTTCAAGTAAACCCCGAAACTCTAAACCCACAAAAAAGCCCGGTATTCTGTCCCCTCTGAATATTTCAGCAGGCGCTGCCTTTCGTCGAGATCATGTACAAAGACAAGGTGACCACGCTCAGACCGTACACCCAGACAGCCCAATACACTTAAGGTGTAGGCTAGGGCTGAGCCCAAGCCTCGTAATGTTTCTTCAGTTTCTGGGTGTGCTGGGGATATGGTTCTGGAGGGCCGCGAGGATGTTAACTCTACATCCAAACTTATTTTGGATCCCCTACCCCGCTTAAGCCTAAATCCCAGACCCTCAAGTGCTAACCGCAGGCCCAGAAATACGACGCCCAACTGCTAAGTTCTAAAGCTTAGGCCCTGACCTTAAGCCCTAAGCCACCCAAGCGCGAAACCTTAGCCCAACAACCCCGCACACTAAACCCTGAACTCCCACATTCAGAGGCTTCATTTGTCATTAGCCATACTGGAGGGATCAAGAACTTAGAACATGAGGTTTTCGTGTTTTCACGGTGGTGAAACTTGTAAAAGTAGAGTTGCCTCTGTTTCAGAGCCTGTTTACAAAGCCCCATGATCCTTGAAGTAGACCCTGCAAGCATCGTCTCCTATAAGACTCGTGTACAACCCAATGGCCCCTGTAAGTACAAGTGTAGAACACCGCAAACCCTAAACCCTAAACCCAAACCCAAACCTTCATCTCTGCCAACTTATAAGGACATGATTGCCGCTGCGGCAGAAGATGCCGGAGAAAGCTACGAGCAGCCCCCCGACTGATTCGTTTGGCGGTTTTGGGCCTACTGTAGGGGCCTAAATAGGGTTCAAGGGTTTAGGGTTTAGGCTTTTTTTGGGGTTCCTTCTTATAAAATATAGAATAGTGGGACCCAAAACCATATTCTAATTGTTAAGGCCCCTATACTAGGGTTCCAGGGTTCCTTTACGGGAATCCTCGAAGGGTTCTGGGCTTCATCCTGGTTCCTACTGTTGATGATAGAAATCCTGCATTAAACTATGGGAAGTATGGTATATTCCTTATCATGGGTAATGCAGGATTGAGTATCATCAACCGGTTGATGATATAAATCCTGCATTACACAAGTAAGGAACATACAATAATTCCAATTGTTTAGGGCCCTTACTTAAAGGATCATGGGACCAAGTAACTGAGGCTATAAATACGGCAACTATACTTCTAATTACTTATAACCCCAATTTGGGTTCTTATAACCCTTCTTACTATGTCCCAAGACCCTCCAAGTAAGGTAGTGCAGGTTTTTTTATCAACAGTATGCGAGGCTTTAGGGCTTACAGATTTGAGGGTTTAAGGTGTCCTTAACGGTTTAGGGGTTAGGGTTTAGGAGTTTAGGGTTTAGGGTTTAGAGTTTAGGGTTTAGGGTTTAGGGTCTTCAAGGGGTCCTTGAAAGGTTCTACAAGAATTCTACGCGGGTCGAGGATTCAGCGTGTGGAAGGGTTGTGAGGGTTGAAGGGTTTTTCCGGCTCGTGGCCTTGAATTAGTGGTGCAGGGTTCAGGGATTCAGGGTCAGGGTTTAGGGTTCAGGGATTCGGGGTTTATATAGGTTTTACAGGAGGATTTCCAATCTCAAACCTACCCCATGACAGGGTTTTGACCTTCAACATTGTAGGTTCAGGTTGCATCTGTGGGCTCTTAGCGCAAGGTCGGAAAGCGCCGGAGACAGCATATCGGGCTGCTATCTCTCTTTTTGTTTTGGGCTTCAGTTTAAGATGGCTGGCTTCGGGCTTCGCATGCTTCCTGCAGTACGGACCCTGTATAAAGACAGTATAATCCATAACACCCTGCCCAAGTAAGACGGAACATAGAGCACAATAGGCCATCCCAGCCCCAACTCCAACTTCCTTGTAAGCAGAAAGCACGAACCTAAACATGTACGTACCTCAGGAGCCAAGGTGCACGAAGACAAGACATCGAGCGAGAGAGAGAGGGAAGGGAGCCTAAACCCTACACCCTAAACCCTAAGCCTAAACCCTAAACCCTAAACCCTAAACCGAACTTTGAACACAGGCCCGAGCTGCGTCAAGCCCGGCACATCGCAGCGAACCTGAACTCGGGCACGTCTAGCAGCTGAGCTCTGCTCGGTTTAGGGTTTAGGGTTTAGGGTTTAGGGTTTAGGGTTTAGGGTTCAGGTGAGGGGTGTACCAAGAGCTGGTTATCGGCAGCAAGCGCTTCTGGGGGTTTAAAGGACAGTGCGGGATTTACCGTGACCTACCCTACGAAAAAGTAGGCTCGTGTTTAGGCTTCAGGGGTTTGGGGTTTAGGGTTTAGGGGTTTAGGGTTTAAATTTGTGTTTCTAGAGAGCTTGTCTTCAGGGTTTGGGTTTTAGGGGCTCTTTAAGAGGTTTTCGCGGTTACTTCCTGCGGAGTTTGCAGGCCCAGACGGTGTTTGAGGGAACCGAAAACCCTAAACCCCTCAACCCTAAACCCCTCAACCCTAAATGTAGGCCAGTGTAGGATATAAGGTTTAGGGACTACGAGCTCGCGAGTAGTAGCGTAATTACTCCGCTGCAGGTTTTGGGTTTAGGATTTCGGGGTTAGGATTTAGGGTTCAGGGTTTAGGGATTTAGGCACCGAATCCCAAATTTGTATTTCAGATTTATGTAAGGCTGTCGGAGTTCACAGGGGAATCCGCGAAACAGAGATGTGAGAAGGGTGCCATAACCTGCGATGACTTTTTGATTTCATGCAGTATAGACCTTGGCATGATAAACCCTAAACCCTAAGCTCACTTGCTGCCCTAAGCCCTAAACCCTAAACCCGAAACCCTAAGCTCACTTGCTGCCGTTGTCCCATGTTTTTGCTCAGAGCGTAGTGATTCTTGACTGACGCTGGCCGCGAAGCGCAGAGTCCCGGCAGGTGCAAGTAGGGTGGACATCGGAAGAATCACTAAGAGGTGGGAGCCAGGATTAGGGGGACCCTTGGGGATATAGACCCTCTCAATAAGGTCCCTTTTAAGAGAGCCAAAAGTAGGGTTCAGAAGGGGTACCCTTTAAGGGGTACCCCTAATAATACTACCTAAATCCCCTTACAGTTCTCTTATGACTCATTATGTGATGATCTACACCATCACCCCATTCTTGTTGTTGAGGACCATTGAAACCTCCAAACTCTCCTAAACCCCCAAACCCTTAAACTCCAATCTTCCAAACCCTTCTAAACTCTAAACCCTGAACTCTTAAATCTCTAAGCCCTGAAGGGCCTGAGGCTTTGGGCTGCCTTTGTTGAGGGCTTTGCTTGGTGTCTACCTGGACCCCCAAATACCCTCTGACGTACCCCCCCAAATCCCCAAATACCCCTTACTTAGGGAGATCCCGGGCCCAAACCCCAATCTGCTCTAAAACCCGAACTGCTATACCCCAAATACCCTTTTCTTAGGGAGATCCCTAGACCCTAAACTGCCCTAAGCCCTAAACGGTGAAGGTTTCGGGTTTCGGGTTCAAAGACCACAAGGGCTTCGGTTAAAGGGGAGGTGTCAGAGAACTTCGGGCTCAGAGGCCGACGGTGTTTTGGGTGTACTGTATACTATAATCATAATAAGCACCCCCAAAAAAAGATAATATAAGTAATTATTAAGGCCCCTACAGTACTCTGAAGTTCATGAAGGGCGGTTTGATGATTCAGAGTTTAGGGTTTTGGGGTTCGTAGTTCGGGATTTAGGATTCGAGTTCAGGCTTTAGGACTGGGTTTAGGTTTTAGGTTTTCGGGTTTAGTGTAATTTTCGGATTTGGAGTATAGGGGTTAGGGTTAGGGTTTTACAAGATCAGCAGTAAGGCAGCTCTAGCTCCAACTTTTGACCCTGCATCTCTTGCTACTGCAACGACTCAGAGGTGGAGTAATGACGAAAACTTGCAGTCTTCGCAACCTCGTTACTGAGTAGCCCTAAAACCTAAACCCCAAACCTGTTTCGAAGCCCTTACATTGCCACTATATTGCCACTTTGAGAAACCCTAAACCCTAAACCCTAATAGTCTTATACATAGACACCCCCAGCCCAAACCCCTGCAGAAGTGCTGGTACTTGCCTTTCTTGAATCCCTGATATGGGGGGTTTCCGAAAATAGGGGAACCCTAATATAGTACCCTAAATAATAGGATCCTTATTATAAGGACCCCAAAATAAGGTACCCCCTGTTTTTGGAACCTCCCATATATAGAAAACCCGAAACCTGGAGGGAAGCTCGGGGAATGACCCTGACAGAAATTCCCAAACAAAACCTCATCCAACGGAAACCATGGTACTGGGTCTCATGGAAACTTGTATAAACTGCACGCCCCAATTCCTCTAGGGTTTAGGGTTTGGGGTAAACCCTAAACCCTAAACCCTAAACCCTAAACCCTAAACCCTACCGAACCCTTCTAGAAGCACCAAGCCAACCCCGGCGAACACAGAGCCGTTCCGCCTGTCGGGATACACAAAACGCCACGAAGATCCGCCAAGCGGGTCTTGGAGATGGCCAAAGCGCGAAGCAAAAGCGGAGTTGGAGTTTAGGGGTTACGGTTTAGGGTTTAGGGTTTAGGGTTTTTGTCGAGTTTAGGGCTTAGGGGTTACAATTTAAGGTTTTAGGGTTTAGGGTAAGGCTCTGAAGACTCATACGTCAGGGCGTTCTTGGCCCAACACTATTATGGGTCGTAGCTCAGGGTTTGGTGTTTAGGAGTTCCGAACCACTCCAATATTACAGAGTTTCAGAGTTGTCTTCCTGAAAGCACCATCATGTACACGTTATCGACCAAGTCCCAGAACCACCGTCGACGCAATATTTTGGGGCCTCGGTGCAGAGTTTAAGGTTCAGGGTTTAGAGCTTTAGGTGTTTTTCGGGTTAGACTTTTAGGGTTTGGAGTTTTAGGGTCTAGGGGTTTAGGGTTTTTGGTTTCCTGGGATGTTGTTTGAGGGGCTCACGGTTTAGGTGTGAAGTTCGGCAGAATTCCTATAGACTTCAGGAAGGGTTTGCTCCTCTGTGACAGCGCCCAAACCCTAAACCCTAAACCCTAAACCCTGAAGGGGCCGGTTTCCGACCGGCTTTGGACCGGGGGTCCGGTTGTTTGTTTCGGTATCCGGTCGATGGTGCGGTCCAA